CAGCGACTAATGCTTTTTGCCAAGCTCGTTTTGGTGGTTCAGATTCAGGAGTCAATTTATTGTGCCATGTGGCATTATCAATCAAAATAGCTATTGGCGTTGCTTTTCCATGTTCAGCTCGTAGAGTACTGGCTGTAGTTTTCATCCATTCGACGAAGTGTTTACTATCCATAGAATGTACTTTATCACACTTAAACATATCTAATGATCTCAGATGAAAGCTACTCAGACTGATTAATCCACTTATTGCCAACCGCTGTCCTATACAAATGTGAGAACGAAAGTAAGTATAACGGTCTTTTTGTTGAAAAGTTAAAATAGCTTGTCGACGAACATTTATTGTATTAGTTGGGATAAAAAGTAGAAATGGATATTATCTAATTAATTTATTTTACTTCGTAAAACTGACAGAGTAAACGCTAAACTCATATTGTTTATTATCCTTTGGAAAGCTAAAGATGGGTGAGTTTCCAGGATAACATAAAAGGTTTTCTTTTCTTGCTTTGTCCCATAGTCTATTGACGTGTGCATAAAAGGAAAGTGAAAAATGGTAATATCAAAAGAAAGGAAAATGTAAGCGGTACCTTTGATCTCTATAGTTGAACTATATTTTCTTATACTGTGTAGAATTCCCATTTAGGATGATTTCTCTTGTGCAACTAAGCAACAAAAGAGGACTATACTTATTCAAAGTTCACTGAAAAAACCAAGCGAAGCCTACTTATATACTCTGAAAAGCTTTCAACCATCAAGAATCATGCTAGATACTGCCTCCTCTTCGCGAAAAAATTGCCCCCGTTCAAAAGCGCTACGTTCAACGAGAATACCCGCTACTCATTTAGCGCCAACTATAAAAGTAATTATCTTTGAAACCGTTATATATGTAAAGGTGAAATTTTCAGAAAATGTATAAGTAATAGTCACTATTCATTTCCCAAAATTTCAGCTCGATCCGTCTGGCGCAAAAGAAGTCGATTTTTCAACCTCTCTCATAATACGTTTCTTTTTTAATTGCTTTCAATTTCTTCAACTATTTTGATCTTCAAATCATCCAAATCTCGTATGTTATTTTTATAAACATTTGTTTTGATATAGCCCCAAAGAAAAAAATCCAAAGGAGTCATATCAGGTGACCTTGGAGCCCATGAGATTGATCCACCTCTCCCTATCCATCGATTATCAAATTTTTCGTTCAACCAAGAACATTTGAGGAGTGAACATTTGAAGAGCATTTGAGAAGTGAATTGGAGCACCGTTCTGCTGGAAGATGATATTGTTTGTAATCCTTTTTCTTTGTAAAATTGGATAAAAGAAGTTCTTGAGCATCTCAAGATAATCTTTGTGATTAACTATTGGTTCTTCAAAAAAATATGGTCCAACAATTTGATTAGAAGATATAGCACGCTATACAGTAAGTTTTGGTGTTTTCATTGCAACTTCTACAGTAAAATATGGATTACTTGCACTCCAAATACGACAATTATGCTTATTAACTATGCCCAAATGTGAAATGTAGTTTCGTCAGAAAAAAAGATTAAACCATCATTGCTCGAGTCGCCAATAATTGATAACAGCGTTTCCGCCATCTCTACTCGTAAATCCTTGCCCTCTCATACAATTGTTGGGTTAAATGCATCTTATATGGTTTGAATCCTAACATCTCGCGCATCGTTCGATGTACTACCGATTTTGAAATATTAACTTTACGAGCAATATTGCGCACGCTGATCGTAGGATTATCTGACAAAACTTCAACAATCTCTTCAAATTTTTCATCTGTTGCAGATGATGGTCGTCCTGAACGTTCTTGATCATATATTGAACCAGTCTCACTAAACTTATTAAAAATAGTTTTCATTGTCTTTTCGGAAGGAATATTAGGCAAATTTTCTCGGTGAAAATGGCGTCTGACTAAGCTTGGATATTCCAAATTAGCCATCATGAGAACAATTTGAATTCTTAATTCTTCGTCAACAGACATTTTATTTAATTTTAAATCTTTACCAGTTCGATTAGGTAGTCTTTTCAGATTCAGAATGACAGCACTATCCTCTACAACAGTCATTGTATAGATGGAGCACTAATTCACTTTTCAAATGCGGTTCGTTCTTGGTTGAACGAAAAATTTGATAATCGATGGGTAGGGAGAGGTGGATCAATCTCATGGGCTCCAAGGTCACCTGATATGACTCCTTTGGATTTTTTTCTTTGAGCTATATCAAAACAAATGTTCATAAAAATAACATACGAGATTTGGATGATTTGAAGATCAAAATAGTTCAAGTAATTAAAAAAGAAACGTTACATAATGTTTTTCTGGAAATATAGAAAAGATTAAATTTTTGTATATCAGTTCAAGGCGATACTTTTGAACAATATTTTTGAGATTTTTTCTATAAATAAAAATTTGTTGCATTTTCCCATTATTTGAAAAAGAATAGTTGATATTGTCATATAAAAAAGTGTAGATATTCAAAAAACTTAAGTGGAAGGAGCTTTTGGAACATACTGTATGTATGGCATTACTATTGAACGGGTACCCGATCAATTTCATTTTCAAACAACTAGAAAGAGTCGCACGGACATTTGAATGCGCGATACCCACCCACGCAAAGGAATTATTTAGATGTAAGAAAACTCTTGCTAGAAACCACTAATCATCGAAGAAAGAAGGCTAAAATTGATTCAAGGTTGATATTCTGTGTCATTTTTCCTTTTGTAAAGGAATGCAAGATTTCTGAACCCGTTTTCATAAGCTCTGGAACGATTGCTTTTCAGACACAGCCATTTCAAAGATGAATCCAATTATCGGTTCGAAAAGATTGAACAACCTTTCAGATTATCTTATAAGAAACCGAAAAACTCGCTACTGAAAATCGATAAACCTCTTGCTAATTAATTAAATACAGTACAGGATGGTTTAACAACCAGTAGCATATGAATTCAAAACACTTCGAAACTCTCATTTTCCTCTCGTTTGATCTCGAAGGAGTTTTTCAACTGGTATTTTGGCTTTTGGCACGTCGTCTCAAACAACATCCAACGGCATTTGACAACTCCCCAAAGGCTACAACGACAATACTGCCAAAATCTACAAACAAATGGCCAAGAACGATTACGAACGTACCAAACCAAAACAAGTTTTATCAAATACCAGTAGAGGCCCTTTCGGCCATTTGGTACTTGCTATAGGGGTCCTTTCGACCATTTAGCAATTATGATTTGTAAATAGTTGCTGTTGAAAAATGTTTTTTGTAGAATCTGATGGAGTCAAGTTTCAACTTGACAGAAACTAGTCAATAAAACTACAAGAAATCAATCATCGTCTTCTTTTAGTTCTTTCTCAAGTGAAAGTGATTATTTCAAAGAAAAGGTTATATCTTGATATAAAAAAGAATAATCAACTACTCTATTTATGTTTTCTCGTGAAACACCCTCACCATCAACCCTCAAGATAGTCTCTTAAGCAAGGACGAAATCGCGATCAAAACAATTAGCCACTACTCTCTAAAAAAAATCCGTAGCTTACAGAACGAATATCGGTTTTGGCATTTGCTCCTAATAGAAACCGATATCCGTATCGTACAGTCCTGCATAACCGTTTCGCAGAATACGCTTCGACGTTTTTTGCCTTGTGAAGAAACGGATTTAGGTTTTGTACCAGAGAAAAAACGTTGAAACGTATTCTGCGAAACGGTTACGC